CATGAATTCATTAAGTTTTGTTTTTTACAGTTAAAAATAATTAGGCCTGGCGTGACTTAGTGGTTAGGACACTCGACTCGCACTCTGAACGAATAAACTCGTCCTTCTAGCCGTGGGGACGTTATAACTGACGGTCAATCGCACTATTCGTTAGTAAAAGAAAAATCCAAGAGTTAGCAGTAGATGGTGTTGACTAACTGCCTTCCCTCTAGGTTATCACCTCAAAATTAAAGACGACTATGCTATACAGCTCTTGTGTAGCTTTTCGTGAAATTCAAAAAAGAAACAAACCTTATATTAAATTCATATTATTTAATTAAAGATCCTGAGAGTTTACAACAGTATCTCCGATAAGGGTGTATTGCCTTGGTTATTTTTGGGCGTCTCTGTTTATTACTATTCACTTTCAGTTGACGATAGGTTCAAATTAAATTCAGTTTCAATTAAATTCAAAAACTAACGACCTCAATACGTAAATTTTAGTCATGGTAAATTCGCACATAGATCATGAAAAGGAACAGGGTTAATTCTAGTTTGATTAAAACAACAAAACTGGCGAATTTCCAAAACATTAAAGCGAGTGTAACATATAGACAAACGCAAATAATTAACAATTTTGTAAACATTAAATCCTTGAAACAGAGAACTTAAACACCCAACATTTTAAGAAATGAATCGCAAAACACCTGGAATTCCTAAATTCAACTTTACTCGTTATACTAAATTAAATAAATGTGAAGGTGTCTACGGCTTTCTAATAGTGGTCTGAAATAAATATATTTTTTCTAATCATTTGTGGGTTGAATAAAAGTTGTATTTGTTGCCGAGGTAAAACAATTAATAAAAATTATTACATCTCAGTAGTACACTCAATGTAATAGTGTGAATATCATTCAGAAATCATAGCAAAAAAAAAATGCCCCCCCCAACAAGATTTATTTTAGTACCTTAAAAAATAAGTGGCTACAAAGCTTTTCAAAGATGCATTCAAATGATAAATTACTTGTATTTTTTATATAAAAAGTAAGGTTATATTCAAAAATTCGCCATAAATGCGCAGACATAATAATTACTATGAACACGGTATTATAATTCGCCATAAATGCGCAGACATAATAATTACTATGAACATAGTATTATAATTCGCCATAAATGCGCAGACATAATAATTACTATGAACATAGTATTATAATTCGCCATAAATGCGCAGACATAATAATTACTATGAACATAGTATTATAATTCGCCATAAATGCGCAGACATAATAATTACTATGAACACAGTATTATAATTCGCCATAAATGTGCAGACATAATAATTACTATGAACACGGTATTATAATCGATTTGTCTTTTAGAACAGAGTTTAGAATTATTGTCCAAATGCATATGGAAGCTAAGTCACGCCCCGTTTTATATCTTTGCCAATATTGAACATTTATTAGTCACAATGATTTCGTACGTTTTTCAAGTCTTTTTTTTCTTCAAAAAACTTCTCACGATAACCTCACGGGCATATTTTGTATGCATTAGAACACTTCTTGCTTGTTATGACGTAAATAAAAATCATGTAGAGAAAAGTTTACAAATGCTTTTCTAAATAAGGTCTTTTGGTATTAGGATTACATTTTGAGTGATTTTAAGTAATAAGTGCATTAACTATTCATAAAACTTAGTTTATATTTACATATGATTTCGCTCGTAAAAATTTTAATAACGCAAAATAATTACCTAATACATTCAAAAATATATCGCACAAACATAAGTAAGTAGGGCAAATTTTTACTCTTGTCTTTCTCTGTGTATAAAGTAATGAATTGAGAATAACCCAAAAATCGAATAATGAGATTACCTTTGTAATAATGGTTTAAGATTTGATAAAATCTAGGTTATGAAATGGCAAATTATAAATGAGTAGTAAATCCCTTGAATGGAAGTACGCCAGAGAGTTGATGCCGATTCACAAAGCATTTCAAAACATATATTTAAATTTCCACTCAATTCACAAAATAAAATTACTGTGAAAATTGTACCGTTTTTCTCTGTCAATATGAGTTCTTCCAGTCTTTTATATTTCTACATAATACTGTACGCAACGGCATTGTTTTTTGTTACGAACAGGAGGAGCAAATTACTTTGAGAGGAAATGACATAATAACCCGATTTTTCAGTATCTTTTTTTCTTCTATATACATTTCTAATTAAGTTCCTTATGAGATTCTAGAAAGATTAAAGTTAAACGATAAAACAGATAATTCAATGAAATAACACAGGTCTGCGATGGTTTTATTGTCTTGAAAGTTTTACATGTTCTACAGTAATTCCTGTGCGCTGTATCCGAAAATGATATCTATTTTTCTCCATCACGTACAGATTTTTCACAAAACGTCATAATATAATACATAAAAGAAAGGCCACAACACGTAGTTTGAGACTAAAAGACGTAGATTTCACACACACACAAATCAGGATGACTGAGGATGCATATTCGTTTGATATCGTTGTTCTTCCCTTTTCTTCAGTTTCTTTGTATTGTTGTTAACAAACATAATGATTTTAAAATGTTCATTGTGGTAAACGAAATAATAATTTGATCTAAGTAAGAGTTGTTTTTCTTCCCAATTTGTAAAAAAAACCTTACGTGATAGAAAATTTTTTTTTATTATTTTCGAAATCTGTGTTGCTGAATTATGGAAAATTCGTTATTAAAATCAAAATAACTTTTATTGTGTTTAAATTTGCAGGCCTGTGTAATCGTAAAGCGAATCTAGTTCGAGCCTGTTCATGGAAAACAGTTTTGTTTTGAATTTTGTGCAAAGCTACACGAGGACTATCTGCGCTAGCCGTCCCTAATTTAGCAGTGTAAGACAAGAGGGAAAGCAGATAGTCATCACCACCTACCGCCAACTCTTGGGCTACTCTTTTGCCAACGAATAATGGGATTTACCGTCACATTATAACGCCCCCACGGCTGAAAGGGCGAGTATGCTTGCTGTGACGGGGATTCGAACTCGCGACTCTCAGATTGCGAGACAAACGCCCTAGCCACTTGGCCATGCCGAGACTCATGGAAAGCTGAATCCACCAGGCCATTGAGATATTACTGACAATAACTGTAAATAAATCGTTATAAAACTTTTTAAATAACTAAAACAAAATTAATTTTTGTTTCATTAAATCAGAAGTATATTTTTAAAGACAAAACAATAACCTATATAGATTGTTTGTGTCTCGTGCATTGTCATAAAAGTACATGTAATCGAGAAATATAATTATACCAGTAAAAGTTCAAGTCTAGACTGCTGAAATAGTAACCTTGTAAATGGGATGTAGACGGATCTTCCCACTAACTGTTTGTACTATGCAAAAGTACCCTTGCTACGCGCGGCTGTAAACGTCACTTGCGTATGGCGTCGGCTACACACCCTATAAAACCGACCTTCTCGCCCATTCGCGACATTAATGCGGTAAGATTGACATGGCTTTCAAACTTGAACCTTTCATCTGGTTGCTTATCATTTATCTCCGACCTCGGAGTCCACTGGAATTTCTCTATCAAAGTTCATCGAAGTTGGTTTAGCTATTTCTTCACAACAACTTTTGGTATCAGACAGATAGACAACCAACTCTTGCTTTACATGGAAAAATAATAGCCGTACTCGTAGATTCTAAATGTCGTAGTTGGAAACACTTTTACTTCAATGGGTAGAAAGTTATTTGAAAATTTAAATGCATAGCATAAACATAACAAACCTTTTTAAAATTACCTTAAAATTCTCAAACTAGTATTTAAATTTTTCGTCACACTAATGAGTCTCTCTCGATATTGAATTTTCTTTTGATACTTCATATAAAGTATTCATATAACGACTGCACAAAATTTCCTCAGCAAGTGCTTAGGAGCTCAGTTAGTAACTCAGTAACTTACGGGGGAAGTAAACCATAAACCGACATTCAAGACTACCTAAGACGTCGTCGTCTACCGCTTACTCAACAGAAGGCTCACTTGTTACATTCTGATGTAATGTGAATTTGTAACGTGTCTGCCGACTCAATAACGGTTTCGTTGAATATTAGCACACCGATTAATTATTTATAACTTTCCTTTAAAATCTCAAAAACATACAAAATGGAATGTTAAATATTTATGTTCAAAACAAAAGGAGCGAAGTATTCTTGACGATGACATTGTTTGTGTGCAAAACAAAAGGAAGTATTCTTGACGATGACATTATTTGTGTGCAAAACAAAAAGAAGTATTCTTGACGATGACATTATTTGTGTGCAAAACAAAAAGAAGTATTCTTGACGGTGACATTGTTTGTGTGCAAAACAAAAAGAGTATTCTTGACGGTGACATTGTTTGTGTGCAAAAACAAAAGGAGTATTCTTGACGGTGACATTATTTGGTGCACCAAAA